AGATTCCACCTTGCTGCATAACCACAGTTCAAGTTCAGTTGAGATTCCTTCATTGCAAGCATATACCTAGCATAAAGTCCAGCATCTTATTGTCCAGATAAGGTCAGTGGCTTCTTGGGGAGACCTTCTCTGGTCTGAAGGTAGAGCTAACAGGGTAAAGTTCCAGTCAGTTAAAAGCCCCAGCAAAACATCAGCAACAATATACAATGTTATGGGATTAATTGACATAGTATTGAGTAAACAATATGTTAAAGATAATGCAAGTTCAGTTCTTCAAAACACATGGGTTGAGATGGAATCAATGACAGGTTCAAAAACTAACAAACAAATAAACAAAAATTACAGGTTAAATCAAGGCAAACATGTGCTATCTAACCTTTTGGGATTCGCTCATTTCCCTTAGCATTATAGTTTCCAGTTGGGCCCATTTAGCCACAAAGAACTGCATTTTGTTTTTTTTTAATAGCTGAGTAGTATTCCATGGAGTAGATGAACCAAAGCTTTCTTATCCAATCTTCTGCTGATGGGCATTTTGGTTGCTTCCATGTTTTTGCAATTACTGATTTTGCTGCTATGAACATAGGGGTGCATGTTGGTTTGTCATGAAACAGGTGTTTTGGATATATTCCTAGGAGTGCTATTGCTGGGTCATATGGTATGCAGATTTTGAGTTGTTTTAGTGCTCTCCAGACTGATTTCCATAAAGGCTGTACCAACTTGCAACTCCACCAGCAGTGGAGTGGGGTTCCCTTTTCCCCACATTCATTTATTTTATTGCAAAGTCGGATACACTGAGAGAAGGAGAGACAGAGGAAGATCTTCCGTATGATTCACTCCCAAAGAGGCCACAACAGCCAGTACTGCACAGATCCGAAGCCAGGGGCCAGGAGCTTCTTCCGGGCCTCCTGCATGGGTGCAGGGTCCCAAGGTATTGAGCTGTCCTCGACTGCTTTCCCAGGCCACAAGCAGGGAGCTGGATGGGAAGTGGAACAGCTTTAATATGAACCAGCCAATATGGGATCCCAGTGTGTTCAAGGCGAGGACTTTAGCCGCTAGGCCACTGTGCCGGGCCCATAAATCCTTTTTTTTTTAAAGTATTTTATTTATTTGAAAGGCAAAGTAACAAAGAAGAAAAGAGAGAAAAGAAATCTTTTACCTGCTACTTCATTTTCCACAGGGCAGCAAAGACCAGGCAAAAGCCAAGAACATGGAACTCTATCCTGGTTTCCCATGTGGGTGGGTGGCAAGGGCCCAAGTGCTTGAACCATATTCTACTGCTTTCCCAGGTGTGTTATCAGGCTGCTGTGTAGACAGTGGAGCAGCCAGGACTCAGACCAACACTCCAGTACGGGATGTGGGTATTAAGGCAGCAGGCTAACTTGCTGCTGTAACAAATACTGCTGATATGGATATTTTTGTACCAGTTTTTGTGTGGATGGGATTTTCATTTCTCTTGTGATACCTAGCAGTAAAATTGTTGGATTGTGTGATTTGTTTATGTTTAAAAAATTGCCGAATTGCTTTCCATAGTCGCTGGAGATTTTCACATTCTTACCAGTGATACGTAAGGAATTCTGTTTTTCTACATCATTACCGACATTGATTGTTTATGTTGTCATCACAGTAGGCATGGAAAGGAATCTTCTATGGTTTTAATTTGTGTGAAAATATATTCTTCAAGTGCACAAATGTTTGCTGAGCTGCAGCGCTGAGTGAGGTGGCCATTGAACTAGAGACAGACTATGCAGCTGGACTGTGTAATTTCAGGGGAGCGAGAGAAATCAGGGCTGTCTTAGGACAGGGTGATGGAACGCACTGAATGCAACAACCCAGGAATGATTAGCAGCAATTTGTTACAGTCATTAACGGGTCTTATAACTTCCAGGACTCTTGGCTTGGCCCACTGTTTGTGGCCATTACTGAGTTTACAGACATGTGCAACAGCCTTGGCTTAGTCTGTCTACTACATGCTTTTCTGTTTGCTTTCCAGCATCACTAAATGTCCATTTTATCTTCTTGTAACATGGAAAGCTCCACTTCCAGAGTGTTTTCCCAGTTGCAACTAGCTAGTAATCCCATTTCTTGCCTCTCTTACAGCTTGGTGCTTGCCTGTATTTAGTGTTTGGGAGTTTGAGGAGAGAGTTCACGCTGGCAAAGCCATTGGTTGGCTGATAATGACTATCTGCATTCCTTTGTCTCTTGCTAATTATGTATCCTTGTAACTTTGAGTCTTTTGTCATTGAATGTCTGTTAAGCTGTTCTCATCAACAACTTATAAAATACAAATGCAGAGTAGAACTGTTCAACAAAGTAGCCACAGTGGTTGAGCTGTGTTACTCAGTGCCAATGAAGTGAGAAGAGGAGGTGCATGCAGAGACAGACCATGGCTTGTGTCTCAGCTGGAGGAGACGATGGTCCGGATTTCACACTTGTGCTGTTGGTGGGACTGATAATATTGGTGGCTTTGCAGAAAGGTTTGTAGTTTACAGAATCCTTTAACACATTTAAAGAAATAAACTATATGCTAAATGGGAGGTAAATGGTTAGGATTCTTTTCTATTTTATTTGAGTTTTATGACAATTTCAAGTACTCAAAAATACATCTAACAGATCATTGTAGGTGTGGTCACTTCAAAGTCAAGCAGATGTTAAGATTTTCTTTAACTACTATCTCTTCTAGACCTTTTGGCTAAGATCAAGTGAAGGTTTTCTTTAAAAGATGTGGTTGTTTTTGTTTTTTACAAAATAATTCTGATACAGGCAATTTTATTTTCTTCTCAGCCCCTCACCTCAGATAAATTCTGTCTCACAGTTGGCGCATATCATTATCAAGTTTTGTACATTTATAGCAGGAAGGAATTCATAAGTAGTATATGCATTTGTTTGTCTTTATCTTGGACACAAAGAGTATTTCTATGATTTCTTTTAAAGATTTGTTTGTTTGAAAAGCCATCTGCTGGCTCACTCCCCAAATGGCTGCAGTGGCTGACGCCAGGACAAGGCAGAGCCTGGAGCCTGAAACTCCATTCCTGGTCCCCACACCCTTTAGTAGAGAGCTGGATTGGAAGTGGGTCAGCTGGGACCTGAACCGGCCCTTCCAGGATCCCAGCATTACAGGTGGTAGCATAATGAGCTGTGCCATGGCGCTGGCCCCTGTTTGTTTTTAAAACTAAATTGTATTTTTGGAGATTTGTCCATGTAAAGGGAGGCAGGCGCCATTCATTTACTGATTTAAGTAGAGTGTAGTATGAGTGCTGCCCCCTGCAGTGCTACAACACGGCTGTTATTTCTAGAATATTATGTAATTATGTGAGCCAGGTGATCATTGCTATGCTGAACATCTGTGTGCAAGTGGTTTTGTTGATTTAGAGAATAGGTTTTTATTTTTGTTTTGTTTTTGGGGGGCGGGCGGTAGATACCCGCACTTGGAGTTGCTGTGTTGTGTGCTTTGCTTCAGCCTGCCTGGGTTTTGCCAGGTTGCTCTCAATAGTGCTGTACATTACTGTCAGTACTGTTTGATAGATTGCATGTTTATACATCTGGTTGCTGTCTGGATTCTTTTTCTTTTTAAGATTTATTTTATAATTTTTTTTATTGGAAAGTCAGATTTATAGAGGAAAGGAGATACAGAGAAAAAGATCTGCTGTCTGCTGGTTCACTCCCCAAGTGGCTGCAACAGCCAGAGCTGAGCCAATCCAAAGGCAGCAGCTTCTTCCTGGTCTCTCACGCGGGTACAGGGTCCCCGTCCTCTACTGCTTTCCCAGGCCACGAGCAGGGAGCTGGATGGGAGGTAGAGCAGCTGGGACATGAACCGGTGCCCATATGGGATCCTGGTATGTGCAAGGTGAGGATTTTAACCACTAGGCTATTGCACCGGCCTTGCTGTCTGGACCGTCTGGATTGTTATACTAAGATGCAAGTGTCACATTGAGGGATACTGTCTTTCTTGATTTTTTTTTTTAAAACTGACATAGAATAGACATTCATTCGATGTTAAGTGAATTGTTGTTTCATGAATTAGATCTTCTTAAAGCTGTGAGTCGGATGGACCAGATAAATAGTGTGCTGTCTATTTTGTGTGTGTCTGTTGGGCACATAAGGAAACAAAGATCAACTGACTCTTTTAGGTCACACAGCCTGAAGTTAAATAATAAAATTTCTTGTTTCTTGGCTTTGTGGAAGCCCATTTCAAGGTGTAATCTAAGATCTATAATTCTCTAAAAAGGTAAGTTCTTGGTAGTGAAAATTTAACAAAATTACATTTTCAAGTCTCTTGTGTTTGTGAACTGCTAGTGTATGCCCAGCATTCTGAAATTCAGCTACAGAGTGGCTAGACAAAAGCTGGCTCTGCTGAGGTTCTCCGTGTTGTGCATTTGGTGGCACTTAGTGCCTGGCGTATCGAAGAGATGCCATTTCATGTATGTGGAATGAATGAACGAACTCCTCCCGTCCCAGTCTTTTAGTCTGGTTGTCTCTATGGTGAAGTGTGGTAGGAAGAATAGGTGAACTCTAAAACCCTGCCTTCCTAAAAGGCAGTAGGCCACGTGATTAGCGCCCCGCCCTGTGAGCTCTTCAGTAGCAGGAGAAGTCTCCGAGACAGCCTCTGGCCTTTGGGATAGATCTGTTATGTCTATTTTGCTTAATTTCTAGTCAACAAAAGGAATATAGGCAGACACTTCAACAATGTTCTTGAAAAATGTAATTGCAAGTTTATTTTGGTTAGAAGAAATCTTAAATCCGTGCATATGTGGGGTCTTCAAAAGTTCATGGAAAATGGGTATATGAAAAAATATGCATGGATTTCAAAAAGGGCAAAGAAGTATATAGTTTACATGTTTTGCCTTTTTTTTTTTCTTTTTTGGATTTATGTTTTCCTTGAAAGGTAGCTAGAGAGGGAGAGATAAGGAAAGAAGTTTTCCATATGCTGGTTCACTACCCAAATGGCCAAAATGGCTGAAGCTGGGCTGGTCTGAAGCCAGGAGCCAGAAGCTTCTTCTGTGTCTCCCATGTGGGTGCTGGGTCCCAAGCACTTTGGGCTGTCTTCCACTGCCTTACCAGTCATATCAGCAGAGAACTGCATTGAATATGGACCAGCCAGGACTTGAACCGGTGTCCATGGGATGCTGGTACCACAAGCAGTGAGAGGCTTTACGCACTACACCACTCCCTCCCCTGGAAGCCATCTGATAGCAAATGTCAAGAAAATAAACTTAATGCAAATCAGGCACTAAGCCAAATACTTTATCGGAATCATCTCATTAACCCTGTCCATAATCGCATTAAGTATTTGATGGTATCTATATTTTACAGGTAAAGAAATGGAATTGCCTGTTAAGTTAGATAAGTTACTTAGCTGGGAATCTGGATCTCTGTGTACTTTACTGAAACCTTTTCTCTGGAGCAGAAGAAAGTGAAAGCCTCATTTGTTTTGCACATGCAGAATCTTAAAAGCTCCTGGGCTCACGGACGTCAGCCTGCTAAATTCTACCTGGGTCAGCTGTGTCTTGTCTCCTCCTTAGTCGGTGTGAGGAGTTTGGTTTGCTTGTGTTTTGTGTACTCTTTGATTACAGTTTTCTTCACTGAGGGAGTAGAGCCTGATGCTTACCTAGAGAACTGTAGTATAATGTCAGATATTTTGCTGATTAGATGATTTGCCATAGTCGATGATTCTCTCCCATACAACCTCCTCTTGTTTCTTTTTGTGTTTTATGATGGCCTTAAAATGGTGCGGCTGCTTTGCAGACAACCTTAAGGAATTGTCATAAATAGCACACCTGCTGTGGTTGTGTGGCTGGTGGAGCGTTAGTAAAGGCTCAGAATGGGTTGTACGGAAGCCGTTGTGTTAGAACTTCCAGGAAAGTGTCCAGGAAAGGTGGCGAGTGCTGTGCTGGGTAAGAAGGACCAGTACAGAGCCTGATGAGCCACTTGGTTCTCTCTATTCTGGGTCTCTGTGATAGCAACATCTACATCAGGAAAGAAACATACAGCTGTTCTTGCTTCATTCCCTTCAGAGCCCTTTGGATCAGGGTGTTTGCTCATCTGTCAGACTCTGCTAAGAATATATGGGGTGTGTGTGTGTGTGTTAGGGGAGAATCCCAGTGACATCACAGGTGGTTTTTTCTTTCTAGTTTAACTTAAAATCTGTGATTCAGAATGTCTGACCTAGTTCAGTTTGAATACAAATCACCTAGACTTCATTTTAGCAGTTGTTCTCCTACCACCAAATGTCCTACATTTTGCCTTTTTGTTTGATCTCTTGGTCCCTGCAGTCTGGAAGCTACTTTAGAACAGGTGTGTGTGTGTGGGGGGAGGGTAGGGAGGGATAGTGCCTTTCTGTCTTATGTGACTGGGTACAGTTCTCATCCCTGCAGTATTTAGAAAGTAGTATAATGTGGGATTCAAATGAAATTTTAATAGTAGAAGATCATCTCACATTGCTATTACTGATTGTATAACCTTGGGCAAATCAGTCATCTTTCTTACATCTCAGTTTGTTACATATTTTTATGAGAAGGGGAGAGAGAACATACAGTATTTTCCCCTACCTGCTGGCGCACTGTTCAAATGACTGCCACACCACGAGTGGCCTGGAGCTAAGAACCAGAAATCCAGTGGACGGTTGGGCGTCTATCTTAGTGAACCCCTGATCGTCCTCCCCAGGGTGTGCGTCAGTAAGAAGCTAGAACCAGAGCATCTGACCAAACCTAAGCACTCCAGTGTGGGATGTGGACATCTATGTTGGTCTCCTGACTTACAGGCCACATGTGTGCCCCAACTTCTGTTTTTTTTTATGTAAAATAGTTTTGACCTCATGCGGTTACTGTATTAAATAAGATAATCCACATAGCACCACATAGAATTGGCACATGTATGTGGGGAATATGTTAGCTATCCATAGCAGCTGCAGGAATCACTGATGCCAGGTGCTCTGCGATATCGTTCATTGCAGACCCTGCTTTTCCGTTGTGTTTTGAAGTACCATCCTTCATATTGAGTTCCCATATGTCACATCAAAACTGATTGCTAGGTTTTTCCTATGCGTTATTGGCCAGCACAATAGATACATGTATGTATATATATTTGTTTATTTAGAGGGGGAGGGGATGAATCATTCCGGAGACTAGCAAAGGCTGTGTTCTTTTCCCTAAGCACCAGGAGTAGGCTCCAGTCTCTTTTCAGGTTACTATTTGATTTAAATAAATGTATTGTATTCCAACTTTAAGGCTGTGTATCCTGTTTGATATTTTCTTTTGGACATCTTGATGCAGCAATTAAAAACCTATTTAATTTTGTGAATTGGGAGCTGTAATTGCAGTTTCCTAGCCCTGGCTCTGCTTGGCCCTTCCCTTCCCCTGCTGGTTGGTACCAGCCCAGCTGCTTGCGTTTCCCTCCTCCTTCCTCCACATTACCCTCTCCCTTGGCCTCTCCTTTTCTCCTCCCTTTTCCATTTACTCTGGGTTCCACCCACCCCCTCAGCTTCTCCCCTCCCCTGGTTTCTGGCTCTCTTTTGCTTTCTGTTTGTGTTACTGAGGGCAGTGCTCCAATTACCTCATATTTGGAGACAGGAAGCTGCAGCCAATCCGGTTTCTGTCTGCTTTTAGGTCAAGTGATTTCTGAACTGCAGTGAGATGCTTTGAATTTGTCTTATTGCAGCTCTGAGCCTGTAAGATGGCTGTCTGAACGGCAGCGGCTGGAAGAGACAGAGGCGGGGAGGGAGGGAGGAAGAATTGGAGGGATTAACGGCATAGTGCGTGTTTTTAAATGTGCATCGAATCCGATGAAGCCAAGGTTGGGATTTCTCTGGGATTCCAGGACTGCCTTAGCTACATTTTTGCTGGAATTAGGAGGGTAAAGAAATGGGAAATTCATTGGGCTGTGTTAAGGAACCGAAAGAGTCAATAGCTGTTCCTACGAAGGCTCCTGTATCTCCAAAGAAAAGGGTTCGCTTCAAAAGGAAGTGGAGGGGGAAGAAAAGCCCTACTCCAGAGGCACCTCACCAGGAAGAACCCTTGGAAGGAACTGGAGTCATTGAAGAGACTGAAACCCTGAGGAAGTTCACAGTGAGTCTCCAAAAGGAGAACAGAGTGGGAGGAGGAGAGCTCCCCCCCGCAGACGTTTTGCTGCCTGGAGACTCAGCCCCTCACTCGCAGGTGAACGGCGGTGCCGGCATGATTGTGCAGGTGAAGGAGAGCTTCCAAGGGGAGGTCCAGACTGCTCACCTTCTGTTAGAGAATGAGTCATCGCTTGCTGGAGGGGTCTGGGGTTCCCTGGAAGAGGGAATGACTGTCATTGCTCACCTGCTCGATAACCCAGCAGAAAAGAACTGTGAGAAGTCAGTGAGCCAACTGGTGGAATTTCCCAGGACAGCATCCTGCAGCAGCAGGGCTCTGCTGCTGCCTTTGCAAGGAGAGGCTGCAGTGGAGAGAGGAAATCCCCAGCTCACATTTCAGAACACTGCTGTGCCTAGGACAAACTGCCACAGGAACCCAGGAAATCGAGACCAACTTCCACAGGGCCGGAGTGTTGGGGGAGGAACCAGCAGTAATTCGGATGCTCCTCACACGACCTCTCGGGCTGCAGGATGTTCTGTTCTCTCCTCACTACCAGACCAGCCAGGAGGCCACAGGCAAGCAGAACCCATTCACGTGGACCAAGTGGCCAACCAGGGTCCCAGATTGCCCACCTCTCAGAGTGATTTTTCTGTCAGTGTCATGACTGTGAGCATTTTGCCCTGCTCCTCTGGCTATGGCAGTGATGGGCCACACATTCGTGGAACCCAGCCTAAAGATACAGAGCCAGAAAAGAGCTCCATATCCTTCTCGGAAGAGGATGGCACCCTTTCTTTGGAGGCAAGCCACACCCCATCCTGGGGTCTGGAGGAGGTAGGTGGGCGTGTCAAAGGATAGTTAAACCATGGTTTGAATTCCTGATCCACCAGTGTGGTAAGCAGTGAGTACTTCTCAAACTTAATGCTCACTGTGGGTCCGTGCTGGAGTTTAGCAAGCAGAGTCTATTTCAGATCTGCCCCTTGATGCTTGAAACCAAGACTTGTTTTCTCTGGGGAATTCTGATTCCAGGTAACAACACGGCATAATTGCCTTTGATACCTGGTGGGCCTGTCTGTCCATGTGCAGGGCTAGATGTGCTTACTCCCAGGCAGATCTGCTTTCCAGCTTTCCTGCTGTAGGAAGTTGTAGTGTTGCACGCGAGCATATGGGGAGGCCCAGCTGAGTCTGAAAAGAGTGTGGAAAAGGTGATGGATTGGTAAGGAGCTGCAGGTGAGGCAGCTATCTTGAGCGCACTTGCTCTTCTCCGCTGGAGAAAGGTGCTCTTATTAGAGCTGATGCAATCCCTCTCCTGCGGGGAGACATGTGAGGACAGCACTCATTCCATGTTTGTATCGATGGGGAGGACTCATCCTGCTTTGGTGCCAGGTTCATGGATTAGAGGAGAGGGGTATAGAGTTATCAGGGAATGGGAAGGGAGAGGGAGAGACATGAGGAGGGAGATTCGTACAGCAATTTAAAGGTTCAGCGCTAAAAGTTTGTTTTGTGATGGAAGTTATTTAGAGCTTTAACATGTTTTTATTTGTGAGGTATGCATTGAGGTGTGTGGTGGTTGCCGTTAGTTTTTTTTTTTTTAATTACTTTGTTTTATTTGAAAGGTAGAGAAACAGACACAGAGAGGGAGAGCGCCTATCTAGTGGTTCACTCTCAGAATAGCCAAGGCTAAGCCACGCTGAAGCCAGGACTCCACGGCTCCGTCGGGGTCTCCACATGAGTAGCAAGGACCCAAGTACTCAAGCTGTCACCTAGTGTTTCTCAGCATGCACATTAGCAGGAAGCTGGAATGGAAGCGGTGTAGCCAAGACTTAAGCCAGGTACTCTAACAGGGGATATAGTCTGGGACAGAGACTCTACTGCTGTGTCAAAAACCCACCTTCTGTGAATAAAGAGCTTGGGACCAGCAAGAATTCAGAGATGTAACCACCCAGTTAACAATCCAGCAAGACTCTGACATGTAGGTAACTGAAGCTGTATCGCTTCTCGGCCTTTTAGCTAACATCAAGTATAGTAACTGAAGCTGTAATTCACTGGTGGCTGAAGGTTTTCAGACATGTTGACCTCCGTGGGAAAAGAACTTAAAACTTAGGATCTCAAAGCAGCAATAGATGAAAGATGAAATAGGGCACCTTTCTTGGCTGCACAATGGGCAGGGACGGTAAACAGCTGCCCTGATGCTTGCAGAGCCGAGATGTGGGTGCCCTGCTTATCCCCAGTAGTACGAGCCTGAAGATGGACACATATTTTAGGCTGGTCTGTGCTTGACCTCTCCCCTGGGAATGAGTTTCCTGCTTGGCTGGGCCCATCTAAGGGCCCTCTGTCATTAGTATTTGGAGATTCTCCACAGTTTGGAGAAAAAGGAACCACTGAAAAATTCCTTTTGTGTGAATGTACAGGAGGTTCTTTGAGTCTCATGTGAAAATGGATGTGTCTCCCTTTATATCCCCATTTACTCCAGATACAGAAAAAGAAGAGAATGTGGAAATAATAGTCTTACCTACTTTCCTGTAGCCCTTGAACCTTTGTGCCCTAATTAACCATGTAAAGACTGTCAAAAATTAAAAAAAAGAAAAAAAAAAGAAAGCCTGGAACCACACCCCTCCCAAAAGAAAATGATGTGTGTTTGAATATGTAAGTATACACACACGTAATCATGTATTATGGCAAGAAGACAAACTAGGGCCCTGCTCGGTAGTCTAGTGGCTAAAGTCCTCCACTTGCTGCACCGGGGTCCCATATGGGTGTCAGTTCGAATCTCAGTGGCCCCGCTTCCCATCCAGCTCCCTGCTTGCAGCTTGGAAAAACAGTAGAGGATGGCCCAAAGCCTTGGGACCTACACTCACGTGAGAGACCTGGAAGAAGCTCCGGGCTTCGGATTGGTTCAGTTCTGGCCATTGAGGCTTCTTGGGGAGTGAATCAACAGACAGAAAATCTTCCTCTCCGTCTCTCCTCCTCTCTATAGATCTGATTTTCCAATTAAAAAATAAATAAGACTAGATAGAATCTACAAGTATTGGAGAGGTTCATCAGAATATTTGGAATGCACAAGTCAATATTTATTTTTGAATGGAATAGAAATGGAATAGTTGGGATAAAACCAGCTGCTGAACTGATAACTCTTTTAATACCACTGGCATAAAAATTGACATTCTGGAGCCAATCAGTATTACAGAATACTTGTTTATCATTATGTGAGTAATTTTCAGGAAGTTTGGCTCAAAATTTTGGGGACTCTTGATAGAAATATATAGTAGACAGTGGTTCCTGGATGGCAGTAACACAGTTGTATGGGCTGGGTCTTCATGCTGGGAAGTGAAGGTTCCAAAAGTTGCTGTGAGGAGTTAATAAATAAATAAATAAAACTGCAGGGGGGAAATGTTTGTACCAGAACCTGAGGTTTGGGGGCATCAGTAGCAGTGTGGTCCTTCTGCTGTTCCTTGAGTCCAGTTGTTGACATTTTCTAGGAGCCATCCACCCCTTCTACCTTTGCAGCAGATGCCACCACGCTGCTCAGATAGTAAAGGCCCAACAGCTGAGGAGCCGCATCTCAGTTTAGACACCTAGCGTGATTCTGGAGCTGTGTGGCTGTCACATCATGCCGGAACCATAGACTGACCATCTTATATGGCAGATAATGAGTTCTCAAGATCAGCGTGAAGCCCTTTAGAAGGAAAGACCTTAGCGACAAGGGGGCTGAAGCCCTCCTGGCCTGTCTGCAAGAAGCTCCCGTCTTCACTAGCAAGGCTCCTGCCCACAGGTCTCGAGAACAGAGCAGCCAGTGAGACAGAGAGCAGCACATCCTAACTCAAGGCTCCTGTGAGTGAGGATTGGGGCTGGGGGAGAGCTCAGCAGAGGGACATGGGTTGCCAAGTGGCTGCTGCTAGTCACACAGCAGGAATCAGCTAACACGTCAGTAGAGCTGATTTTTTTTTTTTACATGTTTCTTTGGTACTTGTTTTGTTTTTAATGTCAGTGTAGTAACCTTTCTCAGAAAGTAATTTAAGTTCCAGAGTGGTATCTGGACTTGGATAATTCAAGCAACATGCTGTCTCCTGTTGATTATTTCAGGGCATGTTAATGCAAGCAGGGCTGGGCTACGGCGTGGGTTTTGCTGCTTTTAAGGATGTTGAGACAATGTAGCTGATCTAATCCTGCTGGGTATTTGCTTTAGATAACAGAAGATAAATGGTCTGTTTTCCTGTTCACCTGCTATGGTTGTCAGGAAACAGTTAACACAGCAGAAGGATGATAGGGCTAGCTGACAGCAGTGGTTTTCAGAATGATAACTAGACTGGGATTTGGAGCTGGATGTGAGCAGACTGATAGCAATTGTTCTTTGATGTCAAACAAAGGCCTGCTCTGGCCTGTTCCTTCTCCCAGGACTCTCTCTGCTCAGCTGCCATCAGTATTGCTAATACCTGGCTTATTTGAACAAGGAAAATTGTTGAAAATCCCTTCTTCCTCTTGACTTCCACTGCTAGTCTGCACTGTTAATGGATCCTGACGAATTGACTCAATACTAGTGCTCTTGTCACAAAACCTTCCTAGCCCCTACAATTTGAAACATTGGCGGCTAGGACAATGAGAAAGAGATCAGGTGGGGTATTATCTTTGGGCTTGACCTTTTGAGTTTAAAGTATCCTTTTCTAATTTTTTCTTTTTATTTATGAGTAAAGTTGTTTCACTAGTACTGGCTTTGTATTATAAGAAGAAAGTAAAATTAGCCAGGTGATAATAAGTTAAAGCTACAGTAAAAGCTTTGTCTAAGAAAGCATTTTATTTCTTTTAATTTTTTTGCTTAATTAAAATGTTACTTAGAAATCCTTATGTGATAGGTGTTAACAATAGTGTTGTGGGTATATTAAGAGTCTTATATTTATTTAAAATTTTTTTGCTAAAAAGCTTTTTTTAAAGGGTTATTGTTATTATTATTATTTACAAGGAAGACTTAGAGGGAGGGAGAGACAGAGAAAGAGAAAGCTCTTTGATCTGCTGGTTCATTCCTCAAATGTCCATAATAGCTAGAGCTTGGCCTGTCTGATGCTGGGAGTCAGGAGCTTCTTCTGGCTCTCCCAGGTGGACTCAAGGGTCCCAGGATCTGGGCCCACCTCTACTGCCTTTCCAGACCATTAGCAGGAGGCTGGATCAAAAATGGAAGTTCCAGGATTAGAACCGGCACCTGTACAGGATGCTCACACTGCTGGCGGAGGTTAGTGTGGTACACCAAGGCACCAAATTCCAAGAGTCTTACATTTTAGGGATACCTACTGAAATGTTTATAGAGGAAATAATATGGGTGGAATTTTACATCATTGTACCAGGGGAAGTTTAGGATCAAGTAGAGAATATCTACGAATTTTAATATTTGAAACTGGGTGATGAGTACAAAGAGGATCATTATATTCATATTGTCTTCATTTTATATATATACTTTTTCATTTGAAATGGAAACAAACATAAAATAGAAAGTTAATAAAAATATGCATAAAACAAGCATGATAAAAATGGCAAAATCATTACATAATACATATACTGGTGGAAAAAAAGGTTAACATCCAAGATATATGAAATGACAAATCAGCAAAGTGGATAAAAATAGAGAGCCAGACTGGCTGTCTTTAAACCCCAGATCTGTCACTTACTGGCAGTGTAGGGCACGTGACTTCTCTATCGCAAATTTTCTTATTTGTAAATTAAGGATAGAGATAACATAAACTTTTAGGATTGTGAGATATGAATTAATACAATTAAAGCATAATGAATGCTAGTCATAAAAAAAGATCCCTACATGTAAACAAGGAGAAAAAAAACACATTTCCTTGCAGAAATATAGGGGAGAGCCAGGAATAAGCAATTCACAAACAAAAAAACCCAAGCACATTGTACACAAAAGGCTTTCTCACCAGTTACCAAGTGTAATATAGCAATACAGCAGTAATAGGCAGTGTAGGTGAGGTACTAGTGGAGGGAAACCTCTTGATTGCCTGAGGGTGGAAGAAGAATTGAGAGCAGTTTGACTATACTTAGTAGGATTGAAAAATGCTCATATTCTGAGATAGATCTGCCATTCTAGTTAGATGCTTTTCCGTTGCATCCTTCAAAATTGACCGTTACCAGACTCTGGCATTGATTCTCCACACCTTTCTCTATTCCCGATGGAGTTGTCATTCAACACCTTTAGGTAGGCATTGATGAAATATCACTGCACTGTGCTCTTACCTGCCTCTCTGTGGTGGGCTGAGGTCAGCTAGAAGCTTCTGGAAGAGTCAGGTATCTTATCTTGTTTCCTCAGGTTTATAGAGATTTGAAAAATACAAACTTCTCAGCTGATATCCTAGCTCCTTAGTAATCTGCCC